CCGTTTGCGGTTCAGTACGCAGCGCATCAGATCAACCTTCAGCCCCGGGTCTCCTTGCCAGAGACCTCCCCCACTTTGCGGTGGACGGGGAAGGTTGGCGATGCGTCTGCGTTTCGTGTCTGGGGATCTCGGGCGTTTGTCCGCGACTTGTCTGCGGACAAGCTGTCCCCCCGTGCTGTTCCCTGCGTCTTCCTTGGCTTCCCCCCTGACGCGCCTGGTTGGCAGTTTTACCACCCCACCTCGCGCCGTGTTCTGTCCTCCCAGGACGTCACCTTTGACGAGTCGGTGCCTTACTACCGTCTCTTCCCCTACCGCACTGCGCCCCTCCCCCCGCCGCCGCTCTTCCTTGCGCCAGGTCCCCCCCCGGTAGACCCTCTTCCCCCTCAGGGTCCTACCCCGTTAGGTGTGTCCCAGGTAGACGCAGTCGAGCCTGTCGAGGTAGCTGTTGACTCTGGTGCCGCTAGGGGTACTAAGCCTGGGGGTGCTGAGTCTGGGGGTGCTGAGTCTGGGGGTGCTGACCCTGGGGGTGCGGAGCCTGGGGGTGCTGAGCCTGGGGGTGCGGAGCCTGGGGGTACGGAGCCTGGGGGTGCTGAGCCTGGGGGTGCGGAGCCTGGGGGTGCTGGGTCTGCTCGTGTGGCCTCTGGGTCTGCTTCGTCGAGGCGGGAGCTACCCTCTCCACAGGAGCTGCGCGAGTGGTTTGCCCGGCGCTGGAGCCGTGCTGCTGGAGCTGGAGGTGCTACTGTTGCTGCTGACCCTGGGGTCGGCACTGGAGTTACTGGAGCCACTGGTCCTGGACGTGCTCGTACTGGCGGTACTGGAGCTGCTGGGACTGGGGGTGCTGCTGGGGCTGCTGGAGCTGGTGCTGCTGGAGGTACTGGAGGTACTGGAGCTACTGGGCCTGGAGGTGCTCCTGGTGCTGGAGCTGCTGGCGGTACTGGAGCTGGCGGTCCTGCTGGAGTTGGAGCTGCTGGAGCTGGAGCTGCTCGGGGTGCTGGCGCAGAAGGTGCTGCTGGCGCTGGTGCTTCTGAGGGTGCTGGAGTTGGCGCTGTTGGAGCTGGAGGTGCTGCTGGCACTGGTGCTGCCGCTGGGGGTACTGGTGCTGTCCCTGCTGGTTCTGGAGGCGCTGCGCGGCCGCGGCCGTACTTCGTTCCGCTCCTTGAGCAGGTGCTTGGTCTTCCGCCTTCTACTGATCCTGCTCCTCCCTTAGAGTGTCCACAGCCTGTCCAGTCGCAGTCACAGTTACAGCCCGCCTCCCCCCTGCCTGCTCCTTCTCCCTACAGTGGTCCTACTTGAGGTCTTACTGAGCATCGTGAGCCTGCGTCTCGTCCTGCGTCGCCTGTTCGTGCTGCTCGCACTAGTAGTTGTGCTTCGCGTCCGCGTCCTCCTGCGGTCCCAGGCACTCACCAGATGGCACTGCGTCCTTCCACTGCTCCTCTGCGTGTCTCGTTGCCGTCACCTCCAGAGTCCTCTCTTCCTGTTCTTGCTGACCCGGAGTCTGACTCTCTTCGTGCTGCCAGTCCTACTGTCACGCGTCTCCTGGCTACTGTTGTCACTGACCCTTCCTTTGAGTCCACTGCTGCGTGTGCCTTAGTTGCTGAGCTTGTCGACTTTGCTGCTCGCTGTCGTCTAGACTACGCCGCTAGTCTCGTTGGTGAGTCTGAGTCTGTCTGTCCTCCGTCCGTCGGGGGTGAGTGTGCTCTTAGCACGGACGTCGTTGAGGACAGGCAGGAGGAGTTCCAGTGTTTTGCTGCTGCTTTGCCTCATCTCGTGTCCACGCTGATTGCCCCTGAGGGAGACCCGGATGCACCAGACATCCCGACTCCTCGATCGTACGCTGAGGCGATCGAGGGTCCCTACTCCTCACAGTGGCAGTCAGCCATGGACGCAGAGACGGCTTCCTGGAAGTCCACAGGCACCTACGTCGACGAGGTTCCCCCACCTGGGGCGAACATCGTCAGTGGCATGTGGATTTTCAGGGTGAAGCGGCCGCTGGGTTCTCCGCCTGTCTTCAAGGCGCGTTACGTGGCTCGAGGCTTCAGTCAGCGGCAGGGAATTGACTACTTTCAGACCTTCTCTCCCACCCCGAAGATGACCACTCTTCGGGTGCTGCTGCACATAGCCGCTCAGCGCGACTACGAGCTTCACTCTCTTGACTTCAGGACAGCTTTCTTGCAGGGCAGCCTGCACGAGGAGATCTGGCTGCGCCGCCCACCTGGCTTCACTGGGTCGTTTCCTCCTGGTACCCAGTAGAGCCTCCGGCGACCAGTCTACGGTCTCCGCCAGGCGCCCCGTGAGTGGCACGACACACTGAGGACTACACTTGCGGCTCTTGGCTTTGCTCCTTCTACTGCCGACCCGTCGCTGTTTCTGCGCACCGACACCTCTTTGCCGTCGTTCTACATCCTCGTGTACGTCGACGACTTGGTCCATGCTACTGCTGACACTGCTGGACTCGCCCACGTGAAGTCCGAGCTGCAGAAGAGACACACGTGCACAGACCTGGGTGAACTGCGCAGCTACCTTGGCTTGCAGATCACCCGGGACAGAGCACAGCGCACCATTACTCTGACTCAGTCACACATGGTGCAGCAGGTCCTTCAGCGCTTCGACTTCACGTACTCCTCGCCTCAGGCCACTCCTCTGTCTACTCGCCACTCGCTCTCAGCTCTGCCTTCGGATGAGTCCGTAGAGCCGAGTGGCCCGTACCCAGAGCTTGTTGGCTGCCTCATGTACCTGATGATCTGCACACGACCTGACCTTGCATACCCTCTTAGCATCTTGGCACACTATGTTGCTCCTGGGAGACACCGACCAGAGCACATGGCTGCAGCGAAGAGGGTGTTGCGCTACTTGTGCAGTACGTCGGGCATGGGGCTAGTGCTTGGAGGGCGGCGTTCAGTGGTCCTCACAGGTCACGCAGACGCTTCTTGGGCTGACGACCAGGCTACGCAGCGGTCGTCACAGGGTTACACCTTCAGCCTTGGTTCCGGCTCTGTTTCGTGGCGGTCTACCCGCTCGTCTTCTGTTCTCGGCTCCAGCTGTGAGGCTGAGATCTACGCAGGGGCCATGGCTGCACAGGAGCTACGCTGGCTCACCTACCTGCTGACTGACCTAGGAGAGCAGCCTCGTTCGTCTCCAGTTCTGTACGTAGACAACAAGGCCATGCTGGCCTTGTGTCGGGAGCACAGACTGGAGCACAGAACGAAGCACATTGCTCTGCGCTACTTCCTTGCTCGTGAGCTGCAGCAGCGTGGTTAGCTGTGCCTTGCTTACGTAGCCTCTGAGGCCAACACTGCTGATATCTTTACCAAGGCACTTCCGCCTTGTGATCATCAGCGCTGCTGTACGATGCTAGGTCTTGTCCCTACTTGGCCTCACTTGCTCACTTCTTGACCTTGCTTGTACTGTGATCTTTCTATACCTGCACTTGCTTGTTGACCTTTATATATGATCTTGCATGTGAACTGGCCTTGTGGCCTTGAACTTGTGCTCGGAATGTGTGGTGACGTTGTGATCCACCCTGAGCTTGCTTTGCTTTGCTTGACTGGTCTTGTGACCCCTTGTTCTCCCCCACTTTGCCTATGGGGGTGTGTCAGACTTATATGACTTAGCCTATGTAGGCTATAGTGGGGTAGCACATATGGGGTACAACACATTTCTAGGGTTTGTACTTGTACCCAACCTTTCCCTTAGTCAATCATTCCTCATTTCTTCACAAGATGAAGAGTAACGACATGCACGTCACCTCGACCTGACTCCGATAGGTTAGGTTGGGGTCAGCATGGAGTCACCCTAACATGACGGACCCATTGACTCTCGAATGACTAGCGCGCGTGACCCAAAGGTGACCTACATGTCAGTTTAGGGTTAGGTTGGGGTTAGAAGATTTTGCAGATGGGGTGCACCACGTAACATGACATCAATATAACTACACTACAACTAGAACAAGATGCAGTTATACATAAATATATACGTCTAACGTTTAGTATAGGCTCAAGTGGGCTATACTGTATAAGGTGTGGGTTGCTACTTGTACCCCCCTTTACACCTATTCTAGCTACTTATTCTCTCAATAACATGGCGGCCCATCTAAGGTATGCGTCACGATCCTCGTGAGTGGCGCGATATGCTACGTAACGCTTTGGTTGACCTTCGTTTCTTTCTATCATCAGATGACTCGTCTCTTTCGTTCGCTCTGGCTCTACTCCATTCTACATCCTTATCTACGTCGACGACATGGTATTCGCTACTCCAGACAGGTCACCCCAGTAAATGTCGAGTTGCTAAGGTGACATGTTTGCACTGACCTAGGTGAACTGCGCTATTATCTTGGCATGCAGATTACTAGAAACAAAGTACCACGATCTCAATTTCCAAGGTTCCAGCCTAGCTAAGTTTTTCCAGCTATGTCGTCCTTTTATAGTATCGTCGATCCATATTGTCACAGCTTCATTATTCGTTTTTTTCCGCCCACTTTGTTTTTACAACTCATAATCATGGAATGCTGTATAATCACAAGGCCTTCAGCGAAAGTCATGTACAGTACTGCACCGCTCATGGATTCAAAAAAGAATCCGCCATTTGGACTGTTCGATCAACCTTCCTCTCTTGTTGACTCTAGGACCCTAGTATCCGCCATGGTTGCTGCTACCGGTGCTGCTGCTGTTAGTAAAAGCTCCTTTCGCTGGTTTTATGTCGAAGGAGTGCCGCTGCTGGTGGTAGAAGATCCGTAGTTTTGCTCTCGATGCAGGGAATTTCGCTAGTTTCCCATTTGTGTTAGCCTTCTTCATCTTTGATATATCAAACAGGGAGGTTCACGCATCGCGCGGCTCGACTTACTGACTTGGCTGATCGGACATAGAAGCCGCAAAAGTACTCAGCACTGGGCCCTCACTAGACGATGCACCGTTTCGCGAAGGTATCGTGGTAACCACGCATCTGCGTCACCTGAACGGGAAACCCTAAAACAGCCAGATCACAGACCGACACTTCCAGGCGAAATGCCAGCCGTAGATACTTATGCTGCGGAAATGCCACTCGTAGACGCTGCGGAAATGCCAGTCGCAGATACTTCTGCTGCGGAAATGCGAGTCGCGGATGCTTCTGCGGAAACGATAGCAGCAGCAGGGGAGCCTGCGCAAGCCGTGGAGATCGGGGAACCCCGTCACGCGGCGGAAATTGACGAATCCCCCCGATTAACGGAAGCGGCCACTCCGCTACTCGTGGTAGCATTGGGGGAAGCATCTGCAGAAGCATCGGCGGAAGCATCGACGGAAGCACCGGCGACTGAGTTACCGCCGGGGACTGACAGACTTCAAGGTCAAAGTAGTAACGTTGGCGATATAGATCAAGCTGGTAACTCTGGCGACCGAAATGAAGGGAGTAACCTTGGCGACGATTACGGCCTAGGTCCAGCTCAGCCTGATACCACTGCACCTAGTACCAGTGCTAGTAACGCCGCGATTCTCGCTCCGAAAGGGCCAATCACAGACGCGCGCAATGGCCAAGACGCGGCGAACACGTCAGCGCGACACCGCGAGCTGGTAGACGCCACAGGGCAGCTGCTATTCCTTGCGAGCCGCGGCATAATCGAGGGGGTTATAGACCTATTGGATCGCGGCGTGAGTCCGGATTTGGCGGATTATGACGGGCGAACGGCGCTGCATCTGGCGGCGAGCGAGGGGAAGGTGGATGTGGTGCGGGTGCTGCTTGAGCGAGGCGCGGATGTGAACCCCAAGGACCGCCACGGCAACACGGTGAGAGGGGTGCAGAACGATGTGAAGGGGTGCATGACAACACACTGAGAGGCGGAAGGCAGAGGCAGCACCGCGTGGGTCCGTTGCTCCTTTTGACAATGTGAATTCCCATCGTGGTGACTTCTATCTGTTATTTGGTGAACGGGCCCGATTCGTCGTGACATCACATTGCTAGCCAATTTTGCGACATCACACTGTTACCTGGCTATGTGGCATCACAATGTTATTTGTTTTGGCATGGAATGGCATGGCGTGGCGTGGCGTGACGTGGCGTGGCGTGGCATGGCGTGGCATGGCATGGGATGGGATGGTATGACATGACACGGTGGGATGGCATGGCATGGTCTGGGATGGCATGTTATGGGATGGGGGATGGCATGTTATAGGATGGAATGGCATGTCATGGCATGGCATGGCATTGCATTGCATGGTGTGGCCTGACATGGCATGATATTGGATTGCATGGCATGGCATGGCGGCCATTGCCGTTCCCCCCTACCCTCTCCTTCCCCACCCTCCCCTCTCGCAGCCCTTGGCAGACGCGCAGTCGTACGGATCCGGAGAGATCTGCCGCCTGCTCAAGGAGAAAGGGGGCATGCTCTGTGAGGTGAGGGGGCATGCTCTGTGAGGTGAGAGGGCGTGCTCTGTGAGGTGCGCAGGGGAACGTGGGGACGCGGGAAAATAATAGAGGAACAGGGAATTGGGGGAGTGAGAGGGCGATGGGATAATGTAGAGGAAAGGGGAGTCTGTAGGAAGAAATGGGAGTGGCGGAGTGTGGAGGAAAAGGGAATCGGGAGGGAGAGAGGGGGTGCGGGAATGTAGAGGACTGGAGCGCCTGGGGAGAGAGAGGCCGGCAGGGCAGCGTAAGCGGAAAAGGGGAGTCTGGCAGGGATGGTGGGGATGGTGGGGTGGTGGGATGGTGGGGATGGCGGGATGGTGGGGATGGTGGGGTGGCGGGGTGGTGGGATGGTGGGATGCCATCTCTTCTACGTTTCTCCTGAACCTCATATGCCCCATATGCAATATTCATTCCCTGCCTACCTTCCCCCTTGCCCTGATTCTCTATCCACTAACAAAGAAAGCATTCCCCTCTCTCCCCCTCCCTCCCCCCCCTCGCCTCCCGTACCCCCACACCACCCTTTTCCGTCCTCCGGCGTTCCTCTTATCGCCCCTGCCTGCATCTCTCATTGAATGCTCCGTCTGTCGTTTCTAGTCATCCCTACATTGTAAATCCTGCCCCTACTTCCCTACTAATTAGCCCAGCATCGATTCCCCGCCACCCCTCCCCCCCCCCCTTCCCCCCGTTTCTCCTCCTCCCTCCCGATTCCCTCCCTCTGCTCCCCCCCACCCCTGACAGAGTGCGCGCATACGCAATGCAGGGGCGAGCTCGTTCAACCAGCACGACTACGAGATCGATGGTAGTGAGATCGACCTGGGCACGTCCAAGGTCATTGGCGAGGTGCGTAGGAGGGAGGGGAGGGTGGGAGGTGGGGTGTATGGGGGCGTGAGCTTGAGGAAAAGGCGGGGGTGTGGGGGGGGAGGCATGGGGGGCACTTGTGTCAGGTAGGTGGCTCATTCGTTCAACCAGCACGACTACGAGATCGATGGTAGTGAGATCGACCTTGGCACGTCCAAGGTCATTGGCGAGGTGCGTAGGGGGAGGGGGAGGGGATGGGCGAGGTGCGCAGGGGGACTGGGTGGGAGGAGGGTGGTGGGGGGTGAGCAGGGTGAAGGGAGGGTGTGAGCAATGCGAGGTGGGGTTGGGAAGGGGCGAGGTGAGAAGGGGGGAGGGGGTGAGTGCAGGGTCATTCTGGGAAATGCAATGCAGCTGCTGAGGGTCTTTGGCAGAATGCTTCTCCCTTCTCCCTTCTCCCTTCTCCCTTCTCCCTTCTCCCTCTCAACTGCCTCCCTCTCAACTCCCTCCCTCTCAACGCCTGCCCTTCCTCTCCTCCCTGTCGCCTGCCCCGCTTACTCCTTTCACATCCCAGGGGTCTTTCGGGGAGGTGCGCCTGGCGAGTTGGAGGGGCACGCCCATCGCTGTGAAGGTGCTGAGAGATGAATACGCTGCCGACCCTGCCGCCCTGTAAGCTGCATGCCGCCCTGTAAGGGAACCGCTTACTGGTCTTGCTAATACCTGCTCTTTAAGGCGGATTGTATGCCCCCCCGCCCCCCCCCCCCCCCCCCCTCTGCCCCCCTTTCCTCCTAGTGTAGCGGATTGTATTCGGATTGTATCTCTCTCAAAGATTGTTGATGTGCCGCCACCCACCATTTCCCTCGTTGCTCAATCCCCCTCATCCGCAACCCCCCCGCCCACCCATCTCCTACCCCTCCTGTCCCCAGCCCCCGTGCGTGCAGCAATGAGTTCCGGCAGGAGCCACGGATTCTGCGATCCCTGCGCCACCCCAACATCGTGACTCTCATGAGTCGACACAAAACCCGCCCCCCCTGCCCACCCCTTCTTGCCCACCCCCCCTCGCCCGCCCCCCCTTGCCCGCTCCCCCTTGCCCGCTCCCCCTTGCCCCGCCCCCCCTTGCCCCGCCCCCCCTTGCCCGCCCCCCCTTGCCCGCCCTGCCCATCTCCTTGGTCCGCAGCAACGAGTTCAGGCAGGAGCTGCGCATCCTGCAGTCGCTGCGCCACCCCAACATCGTGCAGTTCCTGGGAGCCGTTACCAAGTCCCGCCCGCGCATGATCGTCACCGAGTACCTCAAGGTGGAGTGGGGTATGCCTGGCTTTAAGTGCTCATGCTTGGCTGGCACAATATGGCTGGCACAACGTGCTTGTCGTTTCCTCCCTCTCTCCAAGTCCCGCCCGCGCATGATCGTCACAGAATACCTCAAGGTGAGATGGACTTGCTTGGTTTAAGTTGATGAAAGAACGAGAAAAATACTAAGAAAATGTAGAAAGTCAGACCCTCTCAGGTGAATCTGAGGGACGTCTTCGCCCCTTCCGCCATCCGCCCCTCCCCCATTCGCCCTTCCCCCTGCGCCCCTCCCCTCCCCTATGCGCCCGTTCCCCATGCGTCCCCCGCACAGGTGAATCTGAGGGACGTCATTTGCAGGAAGGGCGCTTTGCCTCCCCCATCCGGCCCCTCCCCCATGCATTCCTCCTTCCCCATGCCCCCCCCTCCCCCATGCGCCCCCTCCCCCATGCGCCCTAAGTTGCCAAATACGCTCAGGACACTGTGCGTTTAGCGGATATACGCTAGCGTTTACACGCTAAACGCTAAACGCAAGCTAATACGCTATACGCTTGCCAATTTTTTTTGGGGCAGCCCGACCGAAAAAAATGTGAATATACGGAAAGATGCGGAATTGCACGACGAGCATTTTGCCACCGTCAAAATTCACGTCCGCGATTTGTGCAAGGGTGAACGGCGATTTCCGCGCTGATCGGCAATTTCCCTTCCGCGCAGATCCGCGCGGATCGAAGGTTCTTCCCGCAGAAGGGATGGGGGGAAAGACTCTCCCTAGAACAACGTCTTGTAGATCTGGACTGGAAGGAAGTGACGTGACGACTGTACAAATTTCAAGTATCAAATTGGTTGGATGAGATAGATGCAATGCGGTGAAGATAGGTGATGGGAGGGGGAATTGGTTGGAGGCAACATTGGCGATGGGTGTGGGGCACGAATTCCAGCATTGGCGATGGTTTCCCTGTCCAGGATCTCTCCTACGCCTCCTCCTACACTCTAGCAATCATGCCTTGTGATTGCGAGCCCGAAGCAGAGCAGATTCGCGCAACGCTATTGCAGTCTATAGCCTACGAACTCTGCATCTTAACCCGATTTCTGGCCGAGTCGAGGGTGGTTATCTTAGTATAGAGAAAAACTTACCTCTGAAACATAACCCCTTAGATCCCCCCCCCTATAACAGCCCGGGCGGATTTTTTCCCCTGCCCGGGAAAGTTTTTTCCCTGCCCCAAAAAGCGTATGTCCAAATCGCTCCCTTACGCGTATAGCGTATATACGCTATAAGCGTATTTTGCAACTTAGCATGCGCCCCCTCCCCCATGCGCCCCCTCCCCACGTGCACAGGTGAATCTGAGGGACGTCATTCGCAAGAAGGGCGCGCTGCCAGCGCACGAAGCAATGCGCTACGCCCTTGACGTTGCCAGGTACTGTGGGAGGTGCTTTCAGACATTGCCCTCTGCGGTAGACATTGCCCTCTGCGGTAGACATTGCCCTCTGCGGTAGACATTGCCCTCAGCGTTAGACATTTCCTCGTGCCTATTGGCTTCTTCGCTGATTCATAACGCACTGCATTTTGCCCTCTCCGTTGGAACATACTCCCTCCCTGTCAAACGTTCTGATCTCCACCCCCTCCCTCCCCACTAGCCACCCCAAGTTGTATCCTCAATTTTTTTCCTCTGCCTTCGTTTCCTTTACCTCCTCTGTCCACCTCTCCCCATCCATGCACACCCCTTCCCCAGCCAGTTTTCTTTTTAAACCCTCTTCATCCACACTCCCCTCTCCTCCTCACCTCCCCTCCCCTCCTCACCTCCCCTCCCCTCCTCTCCTCTACACTCCTCCCCCCGCTCAATGCTTCCCTGCTCCGCTCCGTCTCCTCTCTTTCCCTCTCTCTCCTCTCCTCTCCTCCCCTCTCCTCCTCTACCTCCGCTTCCGCTCTCATCTCCCCTAATCTCCCCTCTTCCCTCGTCCCCATCTCCGTTGTCTCCCCCATCTCCCCCATCTCCCCCATCTCCCCCGTCTCCCCCGTCTCCCCCGTCTCCCCCATCTCCCCCATCTCCCCCGTCTCCCCCGTCTCCCCCGTCTCCCCCGTCTCCCCCATCTCCCCCGTCTCCCCCGTCTCCCCCATCTCCCCCGTGACCCGTCTCCCCTCCCACCCAGGGGCATGTGCTATCTGCATGCCCACCGGCCAGACCCTGTAATACACCGCGACTTGACCCCCAGGTATGCAGCTGCGAGGATGTGGGGAAGGTAGTAAGTGGGGAAGGTAGTAAGTGGGGAGCACGTGCTATCTACATGCCCACCAGCCAGACCCTGTAATACACCACGACTTGACCCCCAGGTATTCCATTGGTGGAAGTGGGGAGCAAGGGGGGAAAGGAGGGGGGCGGAGGGGAGGGAGTGTGAGTGAGAGGGGGGAGAGTGAGTAGTGAGAGGGGTTGGGGGGACGATGGTGGATACACAGTAAAGATGTAACCCTTTCTGCTTTCCTCTCCTTCCGCACTCCCGGCCCTTTCCCCCCTTCTCACTTTCCACCTTTCCCCCTTTCTCCATTTCTCCGTCTCCCACTCCCCCTTTCTCCCTTTTCTCCATATCTCCCTCTCCCACTCCCCCTTTTTCCCATTCCCCATTTCTCCCCACACACTGATAGCAAAGCAACCTCTTGCGGGATGACTCAGGGCATCTCAAGGTGGCGGATTTCAGTCTCTCCTTGGCCTCCCTTCCCCCTATTCCTACCGTTTCCTTGTCTCTTTCCTCCTTTGCCCATCTCCCTTTCCTCCTTTCCCCCCACACGAGCAGCAACCTCTTGCGGGACGACTCAGGCCATCTCAAGGTGGCGGATTTCGGCCTGGCAAGCATCCGAGCCACCGCTGCTGCTCACCCACTCCCTCCCTTGTCCTTCTCCCTTTCCCCCTTTTCTACCGCTCCTTAACAGCAACCTCTTGCGGGACGACTCGGGCCATCTCAAGGTGGCGGATTTTGGCCTGGCAAGCATCAGAGCCACTGCTGCGGCCCCACCCAATGTCTCCACGGGCACGGGGATGGGCCTGGGGATGGGGATGGGCCTAGGCATGGGGATGGGGGGCACCAACATTGTATCACTCTTCCAGCCCAACTTTTCTCGCCGACTCACTTTTTCCAAGCACAGCCATCGTAAGCAACCTTCACCATTTGCAACCCTTGACCCCCGTTGCCAGAACCTTGTTTTGAGACAGTTCAAAAAAAATAAACAGCCATCTCAAGCAACCGTCACCATTTGCAACCCGTCCCAACCCTTCCCAAACCTTTTCAACCCTTCCCAGCCCTTCCCAAACCTTTCCATGCCCTCCCATCTCCTCCCGGCCCCTCCTCCCGCCCTCATTTGTTAATTTTCGTCTTATCTTCTTCTCGTTTTCTATCCCTGTTCTGTTCTTTTCCCTTCTCTCGTTTATTTTAGAATCTTTCCTCCTTCCTCTGTTTCTCTCATTTTTCTCTCCCTTTTCCCTTTCTCTCTCCTTTCCCCTGCCCCTTGAAATATTCCCTTTGTTTGTCCTTTTCCCAACCCTCTCCGCCCGACACTGCACGGCAGGCCTCTATTCTGCACCCGAGTTGTTGGCACAGCAGGAGTATGACAAGAGTGTGGATGTGTACTCGTTTGGAGTTATTCTGTTTGAGGTACAGTTCGTACTTGTTTACAGTTATTTTGTTGATAGACTTAAATTTGTCAGTGTGTGTGTTGTCTTCCCATAGAAATTCTTTCTCACGACTAGATTACAATCTCATACGCCAGTCAACCTCCTCGCGCAACTCACACCTCCCCCTCAGATGTTTGAAGGATATGACCGGATCCGCCAGTTGCTACCCGGTGGGACCAACCATGGGGGCAATCTTTTCCCACTGGCACTTAGCAGCAGCGGCCACAGCAACTCGGAGGGGGGGGCGGAGGGGGGGGCAGGGGGAAGCCACCACAGCAGAGGAGGGAGTTACCATGGGGGGGGGAGCTTAAGGGGTGGGGGGTTGTTTAAGGGGGGGAGTGCGGGGGAGAGAAGCAAGGAGGCTTCTGCCAGTGGTGGGGCTACTGCTGCTGCTGATGGTTCTGCTGGTGCTGCTGGTGGTGCTGCTGATGGGAGAGGGAGTGAGGGAGAGGCAGCAGCAGAAGCAGCAAGGCCGGCTGACATTGCTCCTCCTGTCTTCACCAGACGAACATACCCCATGGGGATGAAGGAGTGAGTGTTGCCAGTATGTGCTGCACGTGTGCGCTGTGGCGCATGTATGTGTCGCATGGGTGGGTCGCATGGGTGTGTGTGTCGCATGGGTGTGTGCGTCGCACGGGTGTGTTGGGTGTACCGCATGGGTGTGTGCGTCGCATGGGTGTGTTGGGTGTGTCGCATGGGTGTGTGAGTCGCATGGGTGTGTTGGGTGTGCCGCATGGGTGTGTGCGTCGCATGGGTGTGTTGGGTGTACCGCATGGGTGTGTCGCATGGGTATGCCACATGGGTGTGTCGCATGGGTATGCCCTGCTGCTGGTCGTGCCACAAAACATGCTCCCTCTGAGGCACCTCAAAACCAGTTCTAAATAATATTGCTCTGGTCCTGCCCTTTCCATCGTTACACATCTTCCTGCCTTCGCCGTGTGGATACAGCGACTTGTTTTCTCACCTACATGATCCCTGAACCCTAAAGCATGTTGTCTCCCTCCCTCCCCCCACCCACCCTGCCCCCCCGTCTTCCCTCCCCTTTTTCCTCTCCTATCCTCCTCACTACCAGGCTAATAACAGACTGCAGGAGTGGAGATCCAGCAGTAAGGCCTTCATTTGCACGCATTATAGAGATACTAGAGCAGATTCAAGAGGAGATGAACCCCACAGGGAAAAGGTCAAACGCTAAGGCATCTGGCCATGCGTGCTGTACAGTCTTGTAACGATGTAACTGTGCGGCATCACAGCTTTGTGTTGCGTTCCATTCCCGTGCTTGCAGCTTTGTTAGTGTGGCAGCAATGGGTGTAGCATTGTTAGTGTGGCATTGCTAGTTTGGCAGCAATGGTGCAGATAGCATTCAACAAAGAGCCATGCTTGCGTAGTGCAAATGTAAGCACTCACAATTTAGCGAGCGAGGAAAGTCGGCCACAATCGATACCGGTAATCACACCCATGCATCAACCTGAAGCTTATCCAAAGTAACAAAAAACTAAAAACAGGTTACCTACAGTACCGGGAAACCCGAAATACCTTGTATAACTGCACACACCAGCTCATTTAGAAAGCTTGCTTTCTTGTGTTTGCAATGGCAACGAGCTTCGTTTCAAATGGGCATTACATCATTCTCGTCCGGGATATATATGGTACCTACATTACACATGACAACATGCAATTTTTGCTAGGGTGGGTGGGTGGGAAATAAGACATTTGAAATTTCAAACGAAGACGTGGGTGGAGGCCAAATGGCCTCCACCCCCTGCTATATAGTTGGCGAAGAGCGTCTAGCACTTCGCCGTTGCCATTGCTGCATTACAAGCAGCTTCGCTTTCAAAATACACATTTTTAGAAAGTGTTACACACACACTTTCAAAAAAATTCATATTTAGAAAGCTTGCTTTCTTGTGTTTGCAATGGCAACGAGCTTCGTTTCAAATGGGTCTTCTGAGACATGAGACGGGGAGATGCTGCGGAGACGGTAAATGTTGTTGATGGTTTATGCGACGACATGTCGGTGGAGTTCCAATCATGCGCGAAGAAGAAGGCTGGCACCGATGTTGATCGAGGTGCAGTATTCTCTGCTGTTGCCTTGGAGTGTCGCCCTAAGCGTTGGCTCACACGTGAGCTTCGGACACGAACTCGCAAGCAGTATGGGAGGACACGGGCAGCGGGCGTTAGTATTCTGAGTAATGATGGATGTGATGCTTGTAGGAGCCCAACCCTTGCTGCGGTCACAACCGTGCTCACATTACGAAGCGTGCATGCAACTTGTATCCGGATACGGTAAATCTGTCAAGGTTTAAGCCTTTGGTATTCGTACTCATCTGCTATAGTTGTGCACCATTTCAAACTCACCAAAATTTTGTTCAACCAGCCAACTCAAATGTGATCGCGTCTAAACCTTGCAATTTGGGCTTTAGCCCTGGTATTTGACCAATATATAACTAAACTCACGAGCCAGAAAGGGACCCACCGGTCCTCCTCCCCCCTGGGGAGCTCGCTGGCCAGCAGCGCACAGGACCCACCGGTCCTCTTCCCCCCTGGGGAGCTCGCTGGCCAGCACCGCACAGGACCCACCGGTCCTCCTCCCCCCTGGGGAGCTCGCTGGCCAGCACCGCACAGGACCCACCGGTCCTCCTCCCCCCTGGGGAGCTCGCTGGCCAGCACCGCACAGGACCCACCGGGCCTCCTCCCCCCTGGTGAGCTCGCTGGCCAGCACCGCACAGGACCCACCGGTCCTCCTCCCCCCTGGGGAGCTCGCTGGCCAGCACCGCACAGGACCCACCGGGCCTCCTCCCCCCTGGTGAGCTCGCTGGCCAGCACCGCACAGGACCCACCGGTCCTCCTCCCCCCTGGGGAGCTCGCTGGCCAGCACCGCACAGGACCCACCGGTCCTCCTCCCCCCTGGGGAGCTCGCTGGCCAGCACCGCACAGGACCCACCGGTCCGTTTCCGGCTGGCGCGAGGCCCCCGGTCCCAATCTCCCACGGGAGCGCATGGGTTGTGCCAAATGTTTTGCCGCAGTCTTTCTTCGCCGGTAGTCTTTCATGGCGACCCAAAGGTAGTTGCCTCGCACCGATTTACTGCGATAAAAAATAAGAAATAGCATGAGAGAAAAACGCAGACGAACAAGAATCGAAGATAGGAACAAAGAAGAGGTGGGAACATATGCAAAGTAATAATTTATTCGTTGGCAAATTTCAACATCAGAGGCGCATCTGCCGCCAGTTTGTCTCTGGCGCGCCACTGGAATCTCGCCTTCTGGAGATTTCGCCATCATGCCTGCTGGTACCGACTTCCGCTGGACGCGCCCCTGGGTTCTTGCACGCCACTGGCGATTTCGTAGCCACATGCGGCAGTGGCGATGTTGACCATTTCGGCGCCATGAGCGCCACTGGCGCCACTTGCGCCGCTGGCGATTTTGACTCCACGTGCGCCTCTGGCGATTTCACCATGCGCGCCTGTGGCGATTTCGTCGCCACGCGCGTCTGTGGCGGTTTCGTCGCCACGCGCGCCTGTGGCGATTTCGTCGCCACGAGCGCCTGTGGCGATTTCGTCGCCACGCGCGCCTGTGGCGATTTCGTCGCCACGCGTGCCTGTGGCGATTTCGTCGCCACGTGCGCCAGTGGCGCTGTCGCCTTATTAGCCTCGACGTGCGCGCCTATTGTGCGGACGGGTGTACCCGCAAGACATTTCTGAAACGTGTGTTGTGCTATGTCAATCTAGTTAATGCCTACTAGAGAGAAGTGAGCGACTGAGGAGAACGGGAAGTCGTCGGACGAGAATGAAATAAGACATTTGAAATTTCAAACGAAGACGTGGGTGGAGGCCAAATGGCCTCCACCCCCTGCTATATAGTTGGCGAAGAGCGTCTAGCACTTCGCCGTTGCCATTGCTGCATTACAAGAAGCTTCGCTTTCAAAATACACATTTTTAGAAAGTGTTACACACTTTCAAAAATTTTCATTTTTACAAAACTGAACAAACATTATTTCTAAGCCACACCCTCGTGCCACAACTGCAGCTCCGCCAATGACTACAAATTCTGAAACTTGAATGGCGTTGGCATGGCACCTCCTAAAAAACGCTCACTCACGCCTTCTGAGACGTCTCAAAGGCCCTCCAGCTACCGTACAACTGAAGCTCTTTCGTAGACGTCCCAAAGGGCCAGCAAAGCCTACCAATTGGTTTTAAGGATTCTGAGGACAGGGATCAAAGGGCCAGCTCTTTCTTAGACGTCTCAAAGGGCCAGCAATGCAAACCAGCTCTTTTTGAATCGCTTTGGCTTCCTGTGTGCCTGATTCATGGGATGGTAGTATTGCGTTTTGTGGATTGTGGATTATGCACAAATGCCGAAACAGCCCATAACGGGGATTGCCTGTTTGATAGTGAAGTAGCGGTGACTTTGGTCTACTTCTACACAAGTTTGACCAAACGGCCAATTACTTGCGCATGCTTTGCACATAGCTTGCAGGTAGTAGGGGCACACCCGCGCAGTGGAATCCCGCCAATGCCCCATATTTGTGGCCATCTGGCGGGTTTATTCCTTTGTAGAGAAGACCGAAACGCGGGCGCTGCTGGCCCTTGCGAGAAACGCAAGCTGCTGCTGCCGGAATCAATGGGCCAAGGCTCTCCTGCTGGGGCAATGGGCCAGACGATTCCTTTTCTGCTGCAAAACACTTTCCAGTCGATTAAAAAACCACTGCTGGAATCAACGGGAAAGTGTGTCAAATGTGTTCCTGCTGGCCAACGGGCCAAACAATTTCTGGTCAACTGTGGTCGGCAACAGTGCAAGCTGAGTTGGAAGCACCAGATGAGCCGGACTATGGATGGGCTGGCTGAGTTTTGCGCATTGAATGCGGTACGCGTGGGAGGGCTTTGATCCCTAGGCTCGGGGTTGCTTGTTCCACGGACCCTGCTGCAAGTTTTTTTTAGGCGCCTCAAAAAGCGTTGCACACTGAAATACGCCCCGCTGGGATTTGATCCCTTGGCTCGAAGTTGCTTGTTCCACCGACCCTGCTGCACGTTGTGCGGAGATTCACTCTACCCCGTAGACTACGGGGATTGGCACAAACTACTAGGTGTGATCGTAGCTTTGCTTAGTTCCTTAGTGCTTGCGCATATACGGGAGAAATCGGCAAGAGTTTCACTAGGCAAAAATGGAATTACAGAATGGTTGAACAAGCAATGACAGAATTACTACATCAGGCACCTAGCAACTCTGCAGCTAGCCTGGTCGACCGCCTGCCAGCGTTGCGTAGAGGAGCCACGCCAGCACTGCAGAAAGGCGACTTGCCAATACTGCAGGTCGACGGCTTGCCAACGCTGCAGCAGAGCAGCTGTCCAGCGTTGCCTCGTAGAAGACAGCAGTGCTCACGCTTGTAGGTGCGCGCAGACGATCGGCCCGACTTGCATTGCTGTGCATCCGTTGGCTGTTGTCTGCGCCTGACGAGCCACATCGACCTCGGGATACCAGCTCGAAGTCGCCTTCGCCATCGCGACTTCGATGACGTTCGTGTGCCTCCGCGGAACTCGTCGAGCAGGTTACCCGGTCGACCAAGACACCAGCAGGTGCTCTGGTCGACCACCAAGTGCCTCTAATCGACCACCGGGTCCCTCTGGTCGACCACCGGGTTTCTCTTGTTGACCACCAGGTGCCCCTGGTTGACCATAGCTCCCGTCGAGCTACCCCCTGGTCGACGGACCCCTTCCGTCGACCAGAACTGTCAGCTGTTGTCGCCGAGCTCCCCTCGTCGACCGCTGCTCACTTGTCAGGTCAACGGACTGCTCTGTCGACCTCCCGGTCGAACTGCAGGTCGACGGACTGCTCCGTCGACCTCTCGGTCGAACTGCCCTTCCTGGTCGACGGCCCACCTGTCGCCCAGACCAGTCAGTTGTAGCTGTCGAGCTCCCTGGTCGACAGCAACACCACAGCGGTCCCCTTCAGCTCGACGAAGCCTATCGAGCAGCTCTCCCACTGTGAACGGTCGGCTGCTACTCCCGTACATCCGACCAAGTCGTCGGCGTTGCCCAAGCGAGGGCGGGGCCAACACTCCATTCCCGTTAACACTCCCCTGCCGCGCTCACGCTTGGGCCTCCAGCCCACACGGCAGTACTCCACGGAGAAAACCCGTCCTCGGCGTGCACACCACACATAGCACACCGTCACCGCACCAGCCGTGCAGAAGGGCACGACACTTACTGCTGCACCTCATCGTCGTCGTCGCCGACGTCGGCCAGACGAACTTGGCCGATGGCGACAGAGCATCGGTTGAAAGCCGGAAAATTCAGCGCCTTTGTCAGGAAGTCCGCCGGCTGCTCGGTGGTCGGGGTGTACTTCAGCACGAACTTCCCGCGCCTCACCATGTGCTGCAGCCAGGCGTAGCATTGCTCCATGTGCTTGAGGTTGCCCGTCAGCCCCAACCCTCAGCGACCGTGATTGTCGATTTGTTGTCGACGCGGAGGATGGTCGGCTTCCCAGCGTCGAGCAGCTTGAATTCCGCAAAGAAACGAAGTTGGCGTCCCTCCTTGCCTGCATCCGTGGCCGCCACGTACTCCGACTCGGTCGACGACAATGTCGCGCACTTGATGCGCGAGCTCGACCAGGAGACGGCGGCCCCTCCGTAGACGAACACGTAGCCTCCCGTGCTCATCCGGTTCTGCTTGTCGCCCACGCTGTCGGCATCCACGTTGCCGATCAGCTCCAGCGACTCTGGTCCACCGCCGAACTTCAGGGCGGTGTCGCGGGTGTCAGTGAGGTAGGCGAGGCAGCGGTCGACCTCACGCGAATGCTGGTCGCTCCTCACCGTGAGGCCGCTCCCCAGCTTGCTGCACGCGAACGCGATGTCTGGCCTTGTCGTCGTCGCCGCGAACTGCAGCGAGCCGACCCTCCGCCTCGCGCTCCTAGGCCTCGTCGTCGTCGAACGTCAGCTCAGCGTAAGCGTCGATCGAGACTGGCGTCTTCGGGACTCGACCGCCTTGCTCCTCGTCGATGAAGCACCTGTGCGCCTTGTCGGCGTAGCCCTGCTGGTGCAGCCATAGCTTCCTAACCGGTCTGTCACGCATGAACTCCAGCCCAAGGTACTTCACCACAGGCGAGATCTCACACAGCTCGAAGGCGGCCTCCAGCAGCTCCTTCAGCTCCTTCACCATCGCAGTGCTGCTGCTGGCAGCGAGCAGGTCGTCGACGTAGACCAGCACCCAGCAGGTCACTCCGTCATCGCCGGCCTTGAAGTAGAGCGCCTCGTCGACCTGGCTCTTCTTCCAGCCAGCGCCCAGCAGCACACAGTCGAGAGCCCTATACCACAACAGTGGTGACTGCTTCAGCCCGTAGAGGCTCTTCAGCAGCTTGCACACTCGGCCGGTCCCGTCGTCGAAGTAGTCCGGCTGGTACATGTACAGCACCCGGTCGAGCTTGCTCTGCAGGAAGGCGTTCTTCATGTTGAGCTGCATCAGGTGGAGGTCGAGGACGGTGAAAACGCTGAGGAAGATCCTCAGCATGACCTAGCTACTCACCAGCGACTACGTCTCGTGGTAGTCGGCACCGTACACCTGCGTGAAGCCCTTCACGACCAGCCTCGCCTTCTCGCGCTCGGCGGTGTCGTCGATGCGGTACTTGGTTGTCAGCACCCACCGGTTTTTCATGATATTCACCCCGCGTGGGCGTTCGACCAGCTCCCAAGTGCCCATGCCGATGAGGCTGCGGATCTCTTCTTCCATGGCGGCCTTCACCGCCTCGCCCTTCCAGCTCGCCAGCGCCTCCTTCACCGTCATCGTGGCAATTTCCCAGCGGTGTTCGGGGTCGGCATGCACGTCGGGGTCGAGATACGGCAGTTCTTCATCCTCCTCGGCGTCGCCGTACAACAAATCATCGTCGACCTCGTCGTACACCGTAGTGAAGGCAGCTGGCGGTAGGCAGGCGTGGAAGCTCAGCCGCTCCGGCGACCGTCGAGCTCGACCTGTGCGTCGCAGCTCAGGCTTCGTGATCGGCACCTCCACCACGTCGCTATCGGTGGACTCCTCACCCGCCAACGCTGGCCCA